TTAAAGAGTAGTATCTTCTAAGGAATTATTTATATTGTTTCTGTCGTCATCTGCAATCATTTCCTGCAATAAAATATATAACACATAATTATAAAGCAGCAATTGACGTTGAATATTGTAAGGTAATATAGGCAGATATAACATTACCTGCAGCACTTCAACAAGTGCCCTTGTCTCATCCAACATTTCTTTGTAAAGCCGCTTTTCTTCTTCTAATTTTTGGATATGCTCTAAGAGTTCCTGCTTTTCTTCTAGAGCATTACTTAGGGCTACTTGCCTCGTTTCAGCCAGGATCCGCCAGTAATTCTCGCTAACGTCAGCTAAATCTGAAAGAAAATATTTTAATAAAAAATCCAGGCCTCTGGTATATTCTGGCTTTTAACGCCCAATTTCACCAAACGTCGTTTAACTTTAATCTTGGCTTAATTCACGTTTGTCTCTTTCTAAAGTAACAGTTGAAAAGAGGCAAAGAGCGAATTAAGCTAAGCTTACAGTTAAACAACGTTGGTGAAACCGGGCCTTAGAATGACAAGAACGAAATATTATCTTTAAATATACCTGTGCATGTTAAATCTTCAGGCTCAATTTCTGCCTTTTCCTCTGGTGCAGTTTGGACAGCTTTGTCATTGATCGTCACCTTCTTTTGCTTTTTAGAAACCTTTTTCATTTTTGTAGGTATATTTCTAAAATGTGTACAGGTTTAACGTTTAGCTTCTTTACATGAAATTTCTCTTAAAGTAACGACTCTATAAGAGATGACTTTTTCGGTGTATTCTTTGAGACATATTCAGCAATATAAATACTTTTTACAATCTCTTTATGGTTGAACGAGAGAAAAGTGTTAACTTACTTTTTAGATTTTTCCTCTTTTGTTTGTTGAGTAGACGCGATCATTCTGTCGGCGCCAACTAAAGTTTCTTTATCAACAGCCGAGGGCTGCAGTTCGTGCAAACATTTTCGAACCTTATCCTGCTTTAATCAAAGGAATCATTACAATATGTTCATAAATGACTTCATGTATTTTACACACAAGTGTTATACTATTTTACACATTATTTCTTTATACATTTTAAACGTGTAATTAAACTATATTATCTTTTATTTACAGTACGTCGTGTACTGCTCCAGGAAGAATATCACGTACAATAATATACAGATGCATCTTTAATAAAATTTACCTAAATCAAGGTAACATAATTTTTCATGAGTAGTAAATCAATGGACTGAATAGCTGTTTCTATACTAACAGTAAGAAAATTTAATAAACTACAGTTTCTATTGCCAACACACTCGATTATTCTGTATGCGATGTTACGGTTGAAACGTCCTCTCGGAATGTAAATATAATTGAAGGAAACGACCTTCGGGACATTGTACTCAAGAATATAAATACCGAGGGGGAAACCGCTGAGGTCATTGTGGTGTACAGATTTGCGGCATTACCGGGCATTACTAGGGCATTTTGTCTTGCTGAGGCATTATAAAGATAAAATAAAATAAGATACAATAAGATAAAGTAATGCCCACTGGGCATTAGTGGGCATTGGTGTACAAGATTTTGGTCAGCGGTTTCCCCCTCGATAAATACATTGTAAAAACAATCTTTTCGATATTTCTCTTGTAGAAAATCGAGCGAGAGACCACTATTTATAATGTGAAATCGTGTTGTAACGTCACTTTTCTCGACGGTTTCGTATGAAAAGAGAAATAAAAACGTACTAACCTCTGAAGCGGTAGTCGTTGCGGCGTCGGTAATCGGTTTCATCCTGAGCCACAAAATTCAGAAAGGTTAGGGGAACTAGAACGGCTGCCAAAGGACTCGCGTCGCTTTACTCGTAAACTCCGATATCACAACGCAAATGTCGTACGAAGGGAGTTCAGTTAACTTTCCGAAAAGCAAGCAATCACGTGCACATCACACAGGGCTCTTGTCGCAGCTCGAACAACCGGTTTCAGAGATCAGCTGCTTGGCGGGAACCAGCGGGAAGTGCGGATCGTGCGGGAACTGCCAAGTGCCAAGCAGTGGACAGTGGACCCAGTGATGGGAGATCGCACGGAATTCACGCGCACGCGCATTGAGCAAACTTCTGCGCAGCCTCACTGACGTACATATTATGTGGTAGCATAAGGTTCCCAACATGAAAATGAATCTGAAAGCGAATTTAGGGAGGAAAAATTTTGATGTAAGTATCATGGTTCACAAATGTATTATTATTAGAAACAGTAAACGAAGCAAATGGGTTGATATTACGACTTTGATTTATATTATCAATATGTATTATCACAAACACTATCACAGAATAAACACGGGAAAACTATCGGAATGGATACTTCGTGCATGCACGGGACCCCTGTGACCCCTTAACGTGGCACCTACATCCATCATTGGATTCGAGCTGCTACGTCATCTCACGCATGCGCACGAAGTCTCCCGTAGCAGACGATTCCGTGCAATCTCCCATCACTGAGTGGACCCAGATGCGGGATTTCTGGCGCACGCGCAGTAGCGCAAGCCTTTCTGCCATGCGCATAGTAATCACGTGACTACCATGAAAGACATACAGGCAACGTGGGGGGTTTCTAGGAACCAGTGTTCTTTACTATTCAATTTTACATCGATTTTTTATTAAAACTCATATTAATGATTTATATATTATATAGAGCAGTTTATTAAACATTTATTTAATTGATAAAAAACTTTTTGTACGATATTTCCTATACTCTTCTTGTAAGGGTTCTATCTAAACCCTCAAGTTAAGAAGAACGTATACGCTACTGAGCGGCTGCTCAAGGAGATTCTTAGGTCCATGTCGGACACCGATTCGACGATTATAGAGACGAAATTCTTTTCAAGTACTAACTCCTTAAATTTGACACAATCGTGTGGTGTCTAGTCATCACCCTTTATCGGCTCTATTCCTAATCAACATTAAAAGTCACTTAGAACTCTTTACGAAGAAGTATTTAACGATGACAAGTATTTAAGAAAAAAAGAATGTCATCGTTAAATACTTCTTCGGTGATGACTGGACACCACGTACGATTGTGTCAAATTTAAGGAGTTAGTACTTCAAAAGAATTTCGTCTCTATAATCGTCTGACACCGATTCGACGATTCCGTAGCCGTTCTGTATTACCGACAGATTTACCATTTTCGTATAGTTATAACCTTTCGTCGTATTAAATTCATGGAATCAAAAATGCTTGCGTACAATGACAGTATATGCATTGATAATCCCAGGAAACTCCAATTTTATACAAAAAATGAGTAAAAATTACAATTTTTACTCATTATCATTACATTATGCTTACGTTTTATGTCCTTATGGAATTTTATGTGTGAAGGCCTTTAACCGGAGCTTGGTGAAAGTTGCCCTAACTCGCGTTGGTGAAACCGGGCCTTAAAAATTCATGATCGAGCTCCAGGGGTCCGATTCTTGAATTCATTCGAAGAAGAAACGTATACGAAACTCTGCTCTGACAGAAAAGTTGAAAGTCTATTGGTTAAAGCCATGCGAGTAGCCAATCAACTTGCAACTTTTCTGTCAGAGCAGAATTTTCGTATACGTTTCTCCTTCGAATGAATTCAAGAATCGGGCCCCTGGCATCGCTTTCGTTTCAAGTGGAGAAAGTGTAGTACAGAGTAGGTGCAAAAGAACAAGTCTGTTAGATGTCGCGACGAGAGACGCTCGCTCGGTAAGGGTTGGGTCGGACGTACTGTCAGTGAAAAAGTTGACGTTCGTTGTTCGAGAAGCGCACATAGGTTTGGCACACCGGCGTTAATGAACTCTCTGCTTGCAAATATGTCGCACAGACGCGGTTTCAGAGGCATTTCCAACTCCTTCGCGAGACATAACAGAGACGGTAAGATCGAGATTCTCGAAGAACAGTCCAAAGTCGTTTCTAAAGTCACTTGTCACATTATTGCCGTCGCACGAGTATTGTGTGCGTCGTTTTCTCTTCATTTTTAGCAGCAATGTCAGTCGCAACGGAGAAAAACAATCGACGAGAGCTCCGCCCATGGACACTCGCATACGTTTCCGCACTTTTTCTTGTAAATTCCTTGCGATTAACAAATCTCTACTAAGAACGAGCTGGATTGCTTGAATCATTGTAATTCGACTCTCACGAGATAATCTAGATTGTGACGTAGCGTGAAAAGTTCAACAGATATTTTGTTTCTCGAAACGTTCTTCCAATGAAATTAGATAAAGTAATAAAGGAATCGTGTGGCGAGAAATATTTTCTTAATAGTTGTAATTTTGACTGATTTTTCAGTTAACTTTTAACAAACAATTATCTTTTGTTTTATATCTTTTTTTAGTTCCATGATAGTCTTCTCTTCATCCGCGTATTTAAGGATTTTTGTCAGTAATGTGGATTTATATAGAAATAAATCTTAAGAAACGTAGATGTCTACGAGTATGCATTTTTAACGCACGATATTTTTTTTGTAGATTTAGAATTTACAAATTATTTCGACTCTCACTCTTTACGTCAAATTTTTCTTGTAAATTCCTTGCGATTAACAAATCTCTACTAAGAACGAGCTGGATTGCTTGAATCATTGTAATTCGACTCTCACGAGATAATCTAGATTGTGACGTAATGTGAAACTAGAATGTGACTTCCAAATTTCATTGGAAGAACGTTTCGAGAAACAAAATATCTGTTGAACTTTTCACGCTACGTCACAATCTAGATTATCTCGTGAGAGTCGAATTACAATGATTCAAGCAATCCAACTCGTTCTTAGAGATTTGTTAATCACAAGGAATTTACAAGAAAAATTTGACGTAAAGAGTGAGAGTCGAAATAAGTATTGACCATTCCTTTGTTAAAACACTAAGGCCCGGTTTTTCATTTTTTGGTTAATTGTTAACCAGAAGTTAGTCGACTCTTCATCATTTTCTATGTTATTATCTGAGAAGATACTGGGAGTCGACTAGCCTCCGGTTAACAATTAACAGGGTTGGCAAGTAACTTGTAAAGTTACAGTTACTCTTTTTTTGGTGACTCTAACTTTGTTACTTTCTCATCATCTGTAACTGTAACTTAACTCAGTTATATTTTTTCATTATTAAGCATTAAGTCTTGCATTTGCGCTTAAACATCTTTATCGACACTTTGCAATTTAAATGCAGATTTAATATTTTAATTTTTATTGCAAGAAAGTAACGATTTGTTACTTTTTGTGTAACTGTAACGCGTTACTTTTTAGAATTGGTAGCTGTAACTAGATACTTTTATAAAATAACTTTTCCAACCCTGACAATTAACCAGAAAATGAAAAACCGTGCCTAAGGGTTGGTTTTTCCAACCTCTTGGTAAACTAACTCATAGTTAAATTATATGTCTATCTTTGTGTATCTTGAAAAAATGTTGAATTCGAAGGAAAAAAAAACATGATTCAACTACTAGGTAATTTTCCAAAAGATTGGAACAACGGTCTCTAAATCTGTAATGTCCAGCTGTAATGGTAGCAGAATGCCCAGTTGTTTAAATCAGAAATAATTAATACTGAATAATCTTATTAGTGTGAACTGAATATAATCTGTTGGTTTTTGATATATTAAATACCTTGCTAATCGAATGGCAAATAAAATGTCCATTAAAGTTTTGTGTTTACTGTTCAGCTTGATTTTCCAACATTTTAAAGCACTTTAAACGTTGTAATTTCTGTAATTATTGCTATTCTTCCAGTGCATTGAAATATTTCTCAAATGCAATTAATTGTGAATGTTTTAGAGCCAACACAGTCGTCTACATCTGGGAGAGCCATCCGTGGAAGAGGGTACTCACATGCACAAAGACCTCCTCCTGGATTAAGGGGAAAAGAAATAGGATTGTTTTATAGAAACCAAAATATAGAGAGACAAAAGAGGAGTGCGCCAGAAGTGCTCAGACTATCATCTGAATTGAAGCAAAAAACTAAGATTATGTTAAATAATTGCAAGAGCTTCTACAATTCAGATTATCATGAAAATTGCGAGTTCGACTACTACGAGAATCAAATTCACGATAGCCAATTTAAAAAAAAGTTTTTGGACATCGTACATGGTGATATACAGCAAAATCTTGCCAAAGCTATAAATGAAAAGTCAAGATTACAAAGAAATAGTGACATGGACAGAATATTACAAAGTGAATACAGAGAAATGCAGAGACATGAGGCTTATCAAAATATGTTGAAGTTTCGATTAAAGTTACCAGCGTATGAGAAAAAATCAGAAATATTACAACTGGTTGATGACAATCAAGTTGTTGTTATTAGTGGAGAAACTGGTATGTTGCAAAAGTTATTTGCTAACGTGGGATAAAATATCATTGTAATTATTATTTTTTTATCTGCATTTCGTAAAACGACTAAAGATATGTGATTTTTTTACATTAAAGCAGGCTTGCGCAATTTTAATTATTCAAATTTTCAATTCCAATCGATGGAACTAATAAACTACATATTACTAATGGTTGTATATATTTTTTAAATTAATTGTAGGATGCGGTAAAACCACTCAGGTTGCACAATTTATATTGGATGACGAGTTAGAATCTGGAAACGGTAGTGTCACTCGAATAGTTTGCACACAGCCTAGAAGGATCTCTGCTATTTCCGTTGCTGAACGTGTAGCTATGGAAAGAGCAGAAAATCTTGGAAACTCTGTTGGCTATCAAATACGACTTGAAAAGTAAATTTATGTGATACATCTATACATTACCTATATAATATATTTTATAAGGAACCATAAAGTTTTTCACTTTGATTTCTTTTATCTACAGATCTTTATCACGAGAACAAGGAAGTATATTGTTTTGTACTACTGGTATATTACTACAAATAATGAAGCATGATCCAGCATTGAAAAATTTCTCTCATGTAATATTGGATGAAATTCACGAACGTTCTACAGAAAGTGATTTTGTCATTACATTATTAAAGCAAATTATTCCAAAAGTAAGTTTCAGTGGCATCATGTCGTTATTATACATGTAATGTGTATTTTTATTTAGATTTTATTATTAAGTTTTGTGTTATTTTATTGAAGGATTTCAGATATATATATATTTTTTGTAACTTTGTCGCCTTTGGGTTATACATTATACAATCATGTTGTATAATTTTATTTGTGATATGTTTTCATTTACTTTTCAGAGACCGGATTTAAAAGTTCTCTTGATGAGTGCAACATTGAATGCTGAAAGTTTTTCGAAATACTATAACAATTGTCCGATGATACATATACCAGGATTCACCTATCCAGTAGAGGAATTTTATTTAGAAGATGTTCTGTCACTTGTACAGTAAGTATTGATATTATTGAATGTATAAATTAGTTTATTGCTCCCAGATTACAATCTCATACTATAATATAGTCTCATTCAAAATTTTTAAGTCTAATTAACATCTTACAAACTGAGGCACATATAGCCAAGTATAGAGATCAAATCTAAAACTTACTGATGACAAATCAGTACATTTTGACTTATCATCCTACAATTAATGAAACATTATATGTATATATTTGATGAAGATTTTAAATCATTATTAGATAAATTTTTAGATGTCTTTAGATTATGTAACTATTAAGAAGAATTAATAATTATAATAATTATATTTTTTTCTTAATTTTTAGATACAAGTTTCCAGAGCCACCACCACAACCTACAGATTACAGGAAACATCTGAAAAGATACAAAGCGCAACAAAACAAGAAAGACGAATTTTTAGACATGTTGCAACCTTATATTAGACAACTTACAGCTGAGGTAAATATGAATTAGATTTTTTTCTTCTGTTTACTAATTGAAAGGAATTATATATTTATACACACAAGTATAAAAATCACTTAAAACTGTAATAATGATGAATATTTTATTTATCTATATGTTAAACTAGTTTACATAATTACAGAAGAAATACGAAACACAAGTTATTAATCAGTTACGGAATCCAATTAGTGAAGATCTTTCACTGGACCTTATAGAAAAATTAGTTAGATATATCTGTAATACAAAAGGTCCTGGAGCTATTCTTATTTTTTTACCTGGTATGATGGATATATCAAATTTAAATAAAATGATGTTGAATTCCCAGTGTTATCCAGGTCGTAAGTATATATTTGTATTAATATAATGCTTTAAGTATAATTACATGGCGCTCTTATGTTTACTTTTAATTTGTGTGTACGTCAAATTGTCATATTGAATTAATTTTTTTAATTTAATGATCATAGTTTTTTTGCCTCTTTCTAATAATTAATTGTATTATTGAGTTTATAATTATTTTGGTATCACCTAATATGTATTTTAAAACATTATGATTTAAAAACTGTTTCTTTTTACAGACAGATACATCATCTATCCTCTTCATTCACGCATGCCGACAGTTGATCAGAAACTTATATTCAAACAACCTCCTGAGGGCGTTCGTAAAATAATCATTGCGACTTCAATTGCTGAAACGTCAATAACTATAGAAGATGTTGTATACGTAATAAATAGCGGGAAAATAAAATATGGAAAATTTGATGTAAAACGTAATATCCAGACTTTAGAGCCTGAATGGGTGTCTTTAGCTAATGCGAAGCAAAGACGCGGTAGGGCTGGCAGGTGTGGTACTTAATATTTTACTAGTTTTATATGAGAAGAAAAATAATACATTTTATCGAATTTCTCTATAGATTAAATTAAATATTATGTGTTTGTACAGGGTTACAAGTGGAGAGTGTTATCATATGTATACAAGAGTACGAGAAATGCAATTTGCTCAATATCCATTGCCAGAGATGCTGAGAACGCGCTTAGAAGAAGTAATTTTGCAGATAAAAATCCTGCAATTAGGGAAAGCCAAACAGTTCCTAGCTACCGTCATGGATCCGCCAGATGTACAAGCCATTCATCTGTCTCTCCAATTACTAGAAACACTCAATGCCCTCGACGAACGTGAGAATCTAACTCCTTTGGGTTACCACTTGGCGCACTTGCCACTTGATCCTAGAACAGGTAAGTTTGTCATTATTGCTGCTTACAAAGCCGACTTGTAATTTTAATGTAACATGTTTTATTGTAGGAAAAATGATTCTGTGGGGCGCATTGTTTTCCTGTGTCGAGCCAATATTTGCTATTGCTGCTAGTCTCACATTTAAAGATGCTTTCTATTGTCCATTAGGACTAGAGGAACAGGCTAATAAAAAGAAATTAGAACTCAGCATGGATCAGTGTAGTGATCATATTGCTCTCGCAGAAGCTTTAAAAAGATTTGAAATTGCACGTCAAAGAGGACGTGCTTCCCAGTTTTGCCGAGAGTATTTCCTTTCTTTCAACACATTGAAGCTGCTCTCCGAAATGAAAATTCAGTTTGCACAGTATCTATATGAGATGAAGTTTCTGGACAGCGAAAATCCAAATCATATAAGCTCCAACAGAAACTCAGATAACATATCATTGATAAAAGCTATTGTCAGTGCAGGATTATATCCTAACATCGCTGTTGTAAGGTGTAGAAGTTGTTTTATTTTAATTCTCCATTATTTGACTCAAATCCGACAACGAAGTCTATAACGTTAATGTATATCGATTCTAACTGTGCTAGGCGAGTTAATAAAGGCGGAGTGGTCTGTTGGACACCGGAGGACGGTAGCGTACGTGTACATCCATCGAGTGTAAACAGTAAAGCTTCAGAGTTTCCTAGCCGGTTCTTGACGTATTTCACGAAACAACGTTCCACCGCCATATTTTTACATGACACTTCGTGCATAAGTGTACCAATTTTATTGTTCGCCGGACCAAATATATCGATAAGTGGGTATAACTTTTCTGAGTAAACGTACTGATCATCTAATATATTAATGTGTTTTATTTCAGGACGAGATAAAGGAGAATGCATAATTAGTATCACGAATTTATCGCAAGATATTGTTTCTGAACGAGACACTGCGGAACTGATACAGGTGTGCAGATTAATATATGTATATGCATTCTTAGAAAAAGAGAATGGTTTTGAAATAATTTTTCGTTATATAGGAACTTCAACACGCTCTGAATAGTTTACTGGCATATAAGATTACGAATCCGGACACAGTATCTTGGTCAACCGTTGAAGGGGACTTATTGAAGTAAGAGCTTGCGTATACATTTACTATTTACATACATAATAATTTGTGAATGCCAATGGGCGTTATGTTAATAATTATAATCGTTATGAACGTACGATGAACATCTATGTTATTATATTACAGTGGCATCATTGAAATAGTGTCTCAAACAGGTCGAGAAGCCAGTTCTGGTAACACGCGCGTAAGCGTATATTATGAAGATGATGGTGCTGATTGATCGCACTATCGTTCATTTATTAAAAATGTTGATTGTTTATTTCGTCGTTCCGTTTAATGTTAAAGAACATAAACATCGTTAATAAAATCTAGAATGTTAATTCAGAGTTAATAAAATTTAGAAGTTAGAATATAAGTTTTTAAATAAAGTTACGAAATTGCTTTTTCTCATTGATTTTTTAATTTTTAGACTTCTCTTATTATCAATTATGTATATATTATAAATGTGTATATTGTTCCTCTTATGTCGAAACCATCAATGTGTAAATTTTTATTTTTTTTGAGTGACTTCTGCTCCTAGTTATTATTTACATTGTAAATTTCCAAAATTGAGTCGCACATTTATGGTATTAGCGTAAGGGGAACGATATGTATTCGTTATGTGTGTGCGTGTGTGTGTGGGAGTGAGTGTAATAATTATAGATAAAAAAAACACTCAAGAGTAATTAATGTCTAAATTATCATCATATCCTGTAACCTCGATCCTAATATTGTAAGATTCTATTTTATCGTTTAAGAGAAAATTAGAAAGTGTTTGCATCGCGATCGATATACCTTTTCCGAAAATATTTTCTCATTTGAACGTTCTAAATGATTTTTTAATAATATACTACAGCTAAGAAATATTTTTATCTTGTTATAAAAGAGATAGTTGTATCTGTCACTATTGTTCCACAATATTCGAGAGTCCATAAAACTTGAAAATGTTTAATTTGAAGACAAAACCGATAATCCAAATTGCTGTTAAATAAACAATGCGTTTGCTGACAATTATCTGATATATATTTGGAAACAGATATATTCTTTAAAACGTTTAATATCTGAAAAGTTTTTACCGTTTACTCAAACATTTTACCGTAATGAATCGGAAATACAAACGTGTAATCTTTTCAGATCTTCAAATTTATATTAAAAAGAGTATACACTTTGTTCTCATATCATCAAACATTTAGAAATCACGAGAGATGAGCAAGTACACGGATTATTTATTTATCTTCAGTGAGAGGCGGAAAATAAGTAGGAGTGCGAAAGCACCGATTGACTATTGGTCTTAAAACAACAGTATCCTAAAATGTTTATAGCCGCGCTGTCCGCTCTAAAAACGTGGAGCGAATAACAGCAGCGGCAGCTACGTCCATCCGTATGCGTAAAGGTCGAATCAGACTAGCAATTGTCGATTCAGATTGGAGAGCAAAGCAGCCGGCGATTTAAAATCGGGCTCTCATTGGCCAGAAGACAATCGTCAATTCCAATCTAATCCAAATCGGCAATTAACTAGTCTGATTCGGCCTCGAAGCGGCGATTCAGATCGGATTATGAGCGCGAATCGGTCGGAGAAGCCGCCAATAAGGCTAATATTACGTTTGTCGTACGGCAAATTTTTTAAGTGAGTGATAGTGAAATTCTCGAGTATGTAGAAAATTTTGATTTAGCAGCCAATCAACACGCTTGAAAAATTTTTCGTACGACAGAAAGATTGTCGTAACCGTTTACGAGTCTGTCGTGAGACTTAAGTCGTAGACGTATGTCGCATCCCTCGTATGCATTGCATCGCGAGGCGACGTACGATTATTTGTGCGTTGGCTTCCGACACTGACTTACGTCTTACGACGGAATCACAAACAGTTACGACAATCTTTCTGCTCAGGCCCTAACGCGACGCGGTGCGAGCGAACTCTTGACCCGTCCGTACCTCGCGCGCAATCTCGTTAATAAAACACACCGACGTGCAGTCTCTCCCCGGACTCGCCGCTTCGCGGCCGGCTTTTGTCATTCATGAGCGTAGAACGTACTGCCGTCCTCTCGGCGCGCTTTCCGCGCCGCGAGAGGCAGGAATTCGCGCGCGAAGGGGGTGGCTGGCTCGTACGGTGCCCCTTTATCGCGCGCGCGCGATTAAAACGTACGATATAATTTATGAGGGCAATTAATAATCTCAGATACGACGCGAGACGCGGTTCGACGTCGCGATCTCGCGACGCTTAAATATCGCAAGCACGGCGCGTTTCGTGCTCGCAGCGCGGCGTTTCGCGCGCGCCCGCCTTCTTTATCTAATCCGCCGCTGCAATAATGCAGAATGACTTCGCAATCCCAGAATTATTATCTTTCTCTTTGAGGAAAACGGATTTTTTGTTATTTACTTACAAACACGCCCGTGCGCGCACGTCCCCTCCCCTTTCACTCTCCCTGAAAATTTTCATAATTTTTACTCAAATTTTAACATTTTTCAGATTTTTTCAACAATTTCATCATTTTTTTATAAACATTTGCAGATTTTTTAATACAAATTGGAACACTTTCCAAAAGTACCGAAAAAGTTTATATCTTTCCTAGGATTTTTCATATCTATGAATTCTGAAATTTCTAAAATTTCTCATTCTACAATTTCCAACATTAATAACTCAGAATATTTACATATATGAAAAATTCTAAGAAAAGAAGTGGATTTTCTCAGTATTTCTGAAAAGTGTACCAATTCCTATAAAAATTCGGAGAATTTTCACCAGGGTTTCTCTCTCTCTCTCTCTCTCTCTCTCTCTCTCTCTCTCCCCCCCTCTCTTTCTCTACACTCGCAATCTTGCGCGTGCGTACAACCATTCGCATTTATTATACTTGTATACAGGGGCTCGAGCATGAATGTTTTCCTCCAGCGTGGACTCGCGGGAAGTGAAACGTTTCATTGACAAATTCAATATTGCACGAGGAAAAGATTCATGATCGGTAATATCGTTTATTTTCTTTATTTTTATTATTTTTTATTATTATTTATTTTCTTCACAATTTCTCGTTACTTTTTGCGGTAACTTGGTTTCCAACTACCGCCCAACATGTCGAAAACAAAGTTCCGGCGCTCGAGAGGAGACTATGGGTCTGTTTTTTATTGCTGCACTCCTGAACCAGTGCACACTGGTGCAATGAGTTGGAATGAGAGGTAATCTATTTGTTTCATTTTAACTTATTGCACTAGTTCAGTAGTGCAGTAATAAAGAACAGGCCTTATCTTAACCCTTTGCACTCCGAATTATACTTCATCTATTGGTTTGGACTCGACGTAGGAGTGCAAAGGGTTAAACTCTCCCTCGAGTTTTATCGGCGTTGAAAAGCGAACTAAAACCGGCCGCCGATTACGCTCGCATTGTTTTCTCCTCACTTCCGCGTCCGCGGAAGACCGATCGAGGATCGCGTCGTGGGTGCAGATCCAAAAGGGTCGGCGCAACCGCGCTCGAAGGCGGGATTTCGCGGTTTATTTCCCCGAACGCGGCGCGGCGCGCTCTTTCCAGTTTTCCCGTGGACGCGGACGCGCGGCAAAAAAAGGGGGGGGGTAGGGGGAAAGAAACGAGCTCGAGGACTGCGGTCTGGCACGAGCTGATAGCCCGCGAGACGCGAGAGAGTGGCAAGAGGAGCGCGAGCGAAAGAGCGGTAGCTCGCCGCGTGGGGGGGGGGAGGGGGTGCGGCGGGCGGCGCGGCACGGCGGAGGGAGGCCCGCGGATAGGCCGATACATGGAGTACGGCGCGTAGCGTCTGATTCAGTCTACATTCGACCGTCGCGCGCGCCGTGCCGCGAACTCGCCGTGGTCGGAGCCGAGTCGAGTGTTTCGAGGCGAGTCAGCCGACGTCACCGGCGGGACCGACCGGGGCTCGCGCGGGGGAGAGAACGGTAGTGCACACGCATATATAACGTAACGACAATAGCGCACCGACCCGGCGACGCGCGACGCCGAGACTCGCGGGTCTCTTATCGCGGTTCACGACGGGACGAGCAGAGAGGCGGGAAGGATGCGACGAGTTTCACCGCGCGGATTTCGAGGAGCGTGAATTCGGCCGCCGCCGCTCGCCGCCGCTAAGTCGAATTCAAGGTGTGTACGGAAAATGATCGCGGGCGAGTGAGGCGAGGACCGGAGTAGTAGTCGCTGGGGGAAACAGGCGGAGGAGAGAAGGACGCCGAGTGAGACGAGACGAGGGAAGTTGGCGCGCGGCACACGTCGCGAGTCGCGGTAGCGTGCGAAGGGGGTGGCGAAAGAGAGAGAGAGAGAGAGTAAACGGAGTAAACACGCCGGCGGCGAGCCGGCCGGGACCGTCCGCGCGTTTCACCGCGTCCGATTCGGGCGTCGATCGCCCGCGAGCCGCGCGGCGGCGGGCCGCGACGAGATTCCGGCGATTCCGCGCGCGCGGGGAGTCCCCCGTGATATGCCATTAGCCGGCGCGCGGCGCCCGGTGATGTTTATGCGAGAGGTGGCGGTGCGGCGCGTAGCGCAGGAAGCTGCTAGCGGACCGGACGACTACTCGGCGGCGGGCAGCTCGCGGCGGCAGCAACTTCGCGCTCTCGCGACAGGTGCGGGTTATTACGGCGCCTCGCTCGGCGACAATAACGCGCGCGACTGTCATTATCCCGGCCGTCGGCCGCGCGCCGCCCGGAAACATCTTCCCCGAGTTGTCGCCGCCACCGCCGCCGCCGCCGTCGCCGCCGCCGCCGCCGTCGTCGTCGTCGCCTAGAGGGACGTCGTTTCGCGAGGAACTCGCGCTCCGAGGTGCTGCACCGGAACTTGGCCGTTTCGCGCGGACACTCGCGCGCCCCGTGAACCGACGGCAGGGAACCGCGGAGGAGGAGGAGGAGGAGGGAGGAGGAGGAGGAGCAGCAGCAGCAGGAGAAAACGGAGCAAGTACGTAAGAATTTTCTCTTACTTTTTATTTCTTTAATCGACGGCAGCATCGGCGCCGGCCGTTTCCGTACGTCTCGTTCCCGTGCGCTCGAGAACAAGAGGAAGACTCGCCGACAGCGAAACGAAACGCGCGGAGAGAGAGAGAGAGAGATAGATAGAGAGAGCGCGAGCGACAGCTACGACGGAACGAAGCGACGGGCAGAAGCGCGCCTGCCGAGACGGGCCTGCTCTCGTTTCTCCCGACGGGAAAAATTGCATCGGAAAATCGAATCGGCACGCGGGCGCGCGTTGTGTGTGTGTGTGTGTGCGTGTGTGTGCGTGTGTGTGCGCGCGCGCGGCTCGCGGCTCGCCGTGTGCGTGCGCGCGCGCGCGCGCGTCGGTGAGAGCGGGTCAGTGAACGATTGCGCGCCGCCGCGCCGCCGTCGTTGCGAGAGCGACGAGGAGAGAGGGTGTCTCTCTCTCTCTCTCTCTTTCTCCACTTCGCCCCGACGTATATGCACGTGCGAAAGCGAGGAGAAACGTGAAACGCGCGCGTGCGCCGCGCCGCGCCGGTCCGTGTGTGTGTGTGTGTGTACTTGAGCGCCCTACGCACACGTACACGCGCGCACGCGGGAATACGCACGTACACCCCGCAGGTGCGCGCGCGCGATAGAGACGACAGCGCGCAGCCGAAGAGGAGCAGGCGGAGGAGGAGGAGTTGACGAAGGAGAAAAGGGAGGAGTAGGGGGTGGAGGAAGAGGTGGAGGCAGAAGAAGAAGAAGCCAGTGACACCGGGAGGGTCGGTTGTT